GTTTGGGGGAGAGACGAGGGTGGAAACAAAGTGGTAAAAGGCACAAAAATGAAGAAAAGGAAAGGCAATGAAAAAGAAAGAAAAGCAAAAGACAAAAAGAATGCTCAATGTGAAAAAGAATAAAAAAGGATTCAAGAAAAGCAAAAGAATGAAAGGTGTGGAAAGTTGAAAAAGGAGAAACGGTTTGAATTGCATAAGAAAGAGTGACAACGTGTTTCTCTAACCCCTTAGAAAGAGGTGAGATGACTCAAAGAGTCAAGAGAATGTATGCCGAATGAATCAAAAGAAGTGCTTAAGGGAAGATGGAACCCACTTAGATCAAAACATTCCCTGTCCTGAACCAAAAACCTTCACAATGACTCCACAAAAGCCCTATATGATCTTGAGTTGAATGATGCTTACATTAGTGGATACTCACATGAGGGGCAAGCATATGGTACTTAGAGCCGAACTTGTGACTTTTTCTTGAGAGAGATGAGTGGATTTCCATTAACCTCGGTTTGTGTGCCAATATTCAAAAAGGTGAGGTTTGCTTATGGTGAGTTGAGGATGTGTGAGTTTGGGTTCCACAATGACCAAAGTAATTGAGAGAGTTCTTTGATGTGTTGAGTCAACTCTTGATGCTCTCGTGTCGCACTTGATCCATGGTTTTTCAAAGGTTAAATGTTGTTAATGATTCATTTATATTCAGGGCAATTGTTAGTCTCAATTGATGCTAGTTGAGGTTATTTTAGGACAGCTAAAAATTCTTGGATTTTACCTTTAGGGGTGGGTCCTATTTTGTTTGCTTGAGGACAAGCAAAGGCTTAAGCTTGGAGGATTTGATAACTAGGGATTTTGCCGCATTTCACACTCCTTCTTGGTTACGCTTTGATTATAAATTCATACAAAATAGTCCTAAAAGGCTCATAAGTTGTTCTTGATTGCAGGGTTGATCAACAAAGTGACGAGATATCAAAGATCGGCTCAAAAGGAGTGAAACCTGCACAAGTACCAAAGACAAGACAAACTCAGGACAAACAGGACTAGTGCGGCCGCAGTACACTTTGTGCGGTCCGCAATAGGGAGATTCAGAGACCTGGATTTTAAGGCAACAAAGCAGTCTGGCCGCAGTAGATATCGTGTAGCCCGCACTGAAGACACCGCGGTCGCACCGCCATTTCATGTGGTCTACAGAAGCAATGTTTAGAGAGATGTCAAGTGCCAGGGTTCAAGCTTGTGCGGTCCGCAGTCCATTTTGCGCGGACCGCATTGGAAGCCTCCACGGTCGCGGTCCATTTTGAGCGGTTCGCAGAGCCTGGGTTCAGAGAGTTGAAATTGCAGAGTCAAGAGCCTAGTGCGTCCGCACACCATTTTGTGCGGTCCGCACTAACCCCGCAGGGGCATTTTTGTCCAATTTTTCCAGCTTAGTATAAATAGAACTTTTTCCAATTTTAGGGTATCAGATATTATCATACGTTAGTTGCGCTCGTGAGAAGACTTTTCTTAGTCATTTTTGACATTTTTACTTAGTTTTTATCATTGAATCTTTGTATTTACCTTAGCAATTAATTAATATGTCTTTATCTTTATCTATTTCTCTGTTTTTCTCTTCAAGCATGAGTAGCTAGACCTATTAGCTAGGGTTGTGGCTCAACCCTAGTGTGGGTAATTGATAGGTGTTGTGATTTAAGGTTAGATTGACTATGGGTGTTTGTTATTTGGGTCAATTTCATGGTTTAATCTATGAATTAGTGGTTGCAAACACTAGTTTGTGCTAAGTTGACTTGGGTTCTTCTTGAGAAAGAGAGTCTAAGTCTCCGAAATGGACCCAACAAGGAATTGGTATGGACTCAAGAGAATTGATAGTCCCAATTAAAAAGTTAAACCTCGAGAGAGTAATACCCAACTTGAACCCCAGTTGCTTGAGAAAATTTGCCTACCCTATTGGTCTTGAGAAAGTCAATTGGAAAAAATCACTCTCTTTACCGAGAGGTGTGAGAGTGGGTAAAATTTTGCAATGGTTATAGCATATTCCCCATTCATGTCAATCGTGCCTTAGGTTCAATTACCCGTCAATTGGCCACCTAGGAGGATGCCACTACCCTAGTGCCTTTTTATCCATTAGATACAACTTATAGCAATTCTCGCTTAGCATAATCTAGTTGTAATTATAATTTAGTAGTTGATAATAGTAGATTATTAAAGAAAAACCCAAAAATAATTGGAAGTGATATTTGGAACAATTACACAATCCCAATCTAAATAGATACTCGACTCCATGCCTAGCTCCCTGTGGAAATCGATCCCAACCCACAAATCGGGTAAAAACTATTGCGACCCTCTCTTCCTACTTTTTAGCTATGCGGAGTAGGCTGCGATCAATCGTCCACTCCATGGACCCCCTCATTGGATCTCTCCTTTATCGTTCAGGCTTTATCAAACATTGATTCTTTGAACGAAGGCGATCCCGTAATGTCTATAACATCGGTCGGGGAAGAACCGGCATCTTGAGGGTTCTCGACCTTCACTACTGCATTAGCCTCACGATTTTGAGATGGATTAGACTCTGTTGTTTCCCCCTCGGCCGCTGTCCGTTCCTTGGGCATAGATGGCTCGTGGGCCATAAAGAGTTCATCCTCCTCGAGCTCATCCCTGAGCCGGGGGAGTGAGTCTGAGTTAATCATTCGGGAGCTGGAGGTTTCCTTTGGTTTATGGACCAGCATCCTTTTTGTTTTCTTTTTCTCCGAGCTCGGGGAACTCGAAGCCCTCTTCTTTTTCTTCTCTCTGACCTTCCCATGAGCAGGAGACTCAACAGGCACGTCTTCGTCTTCGACCGCAGGCCTAAGTTTGACGGTCTTAGGAAAACCTGCAAAAGAAAATAAAAGAAATAAGAACGTGATGCTAGGGGAAGAAGTTCAATGTGACTTGCTCTAGGAAAGAACCTTACCATCGGAACGGGCCTCCCAACGGCCTTTTGAAAGTTTGCGCCATGAGCGCTTGGAATAGGGACTATGTGACACTATACCCTCGACCCACTCCTTGAGCCAAGGAATAGCATTTTGAACTCGAGCAGGGGTTGCACCACAGCAAAACACCGATAAGAAAAAGGGAGGGTAAAGTATAAAATCGATGCTTAAAGGGAGTTGTACTTACATGATATGTTCCACCTCTCGGGGAACGTCCTCCACTCGACAGGTACCAGGTCAGCGGTCCTCGCCCTGACAAAACATCCTTGCCAACCCCGATCCCAATCCTTGTCGATGCTCGAGATTGGGGCTTTGCTATCCCGTCGTACAAGCTTTATCAGTCCCCCTCAAAAGATTCAGAGGTAGTACCAGCGGAGTAGATGATCAATAGTGAACGAGCACCCATCAATTTTGTTCATAAAGAATCGGAAGAGGATCCTCGACAGAGATGGATGAATTTGGCTGAGGCATACGTTATACCTCCTGCAGAAACCTAAGATGACCGAGTCCACTGGGCCCAATGTAAAGGGATAAGTGTAAACACTTAGATATCCCTCAACATGGGTGGTGATGGCTTCCTCGGAGTCGGGGACCGCTATGTCTTTGTCGGACCAGTTATAGTCCTTGCGAACCGTGGGGAGGTCCTCTTCGGTAATTGAGCAGATGTCTCTTGAGGCCTCCTCATGCCGACCCTGTACAGAAGAAGTCTTTTCAACCTTAAAGTCGTCGGTGACCGAACTGCCTCCGAAAATAAACATCTTCAAGGGGGGCTCTTCCATCGGTTCATCAACAACCACATCAGGGGTGTTCTCCTTGACCTCAGTGGTCGGCCGCGAAGAAGAAGGAGCATCCTTTTGGGGAACAGATTTTGAGGTTTTTGCCATTGTTATGGGGGAAAGCTTGAAAAAAAATAGAGAAAGGTTGAAAATGGGAGCTCAGATGTGTTGGCTTGAGTGGATGATGAGTAGAAATGTTGCAAAGAACCTTGATTAACGGGGATAAAAATGCTAGAGAGTAATGAAAACTTGAGGGTACGAGGATAGAAGGCTTGATATAAAGTGAAAAATGAACGAAAGAGGGGATATTTATAGAGGTTCAGCGATGTTTCGCGTCCAAGGACAACTAAGCGACGACTGACACGCATTTAAGGCCATTATGACATGATTGACGAGACGTTTTGGGTTTTTTCTCGTTTCTGTCATGACGTATCGAATAATGAATCGGGGAGCTCATGTCGTTTCTCATCAACTTACTCTCCGAGAAATGAGGGGACTATCTGTATACGGGTAAAACCGGGTTCATAGTACACCCCAGTCTTTGATAAGATAAGCCAAGCTCGAGACATGATGACAAGGACCGAAATTGAGGCAAAGGTCTCATCGATTCAAAATTTGGGGGCATGACAGCCACCCTCGAGAATATCGGGGTCATGGTTCGGGATCAGTCCTAGCCTTGAACGAATTCGAAGAACATTGTCGGCAATCAAGCACGTCCAACACAAGGCCGTAATATCCGTAACCGGTTGGATATCACGACGGGGATCTCGGCACGTATCGATGAAGAACCGACAACCAGTTAATCAAAAGATTTTTTACCTTTTATAGAGATGTACCTAGAATAGAACTCATCTACTATATAAAGGGGGTCCGATAATTCATGACACACATTTTGTAACACGCATTCCAAAGCAATACCTTACTATTTTTACTGTTATAAAAGCTCTTTTTCTTGTTCATCAATATTGGCCACTGTGAGTCCGGATCGAGGGTGAACGTTACACTAAGGCTGGAATCATCCTTCTCGCGTGGTTTGAATTTATTATACCTTTACTTGTTCATTCTAATTCAATTTGTCATTTTGTATCAAATTAATCTGCGTATCCTTAAAACCACTTATATATTTAATTGTTATCCGATTTTGAGAGTAAACATTATGTTTTTAAATACTCCTATTTTTTAGAGTTGAAATAAATAAATATTTTACTTGCAAACGTGACATATAATCACTGCTCATGGAGACTTAATGGAGCTACTTTCACTGGAGCAAATCTTTTCCCAATTAGAAAAAATTACCAATATAAGTGCCCATAATAATGATTGGCTTTTCTGGGCTCAATTACAAACGCATAACGGTACAATAAATTGAACCTTGATCATCACACCCTCTTTTTACAATCAAATGAAAGAAAGGGAAACGAAAAAAATAAAAAAATAAGGAAATAACAACACTCATGAAATATAGTTTGCTCTAACCTTTTCTTTTCCCAGATTGATTCTTAGTTCTAATCAAATGAATTACAAACAAAACAAGAGATAATATTACGGCTGAGCCTGCAACAATTGGCACACAAATTTTGGAGCTTTTCTTAGGCACATTGTCACCTTCCCTTTTCCTTGATATTTCACCATCTTCTAAAATTCCATTTGCTCTTTCACCACCTACTTGATTATCTTTAGGCTCATCCCTTGAACTTGTAGATTCAGTTTTATCACCACCTACTTCATTGCTATGAGGCTCTCTTATTTCTTGAATTGTATCATTGCCCTTGATGTTTGACTCTATTTTTGGCATTAATTCCTTCTCCATATTAGTAATTTCATCCTTGACAACATGTTTTTCCCATTTTTCCTCCAATGTATTTTGCACAATTTCTTTCTTCTCCTTTTCTTGGTTTTCTTCTGCTTTTTGAATACACTCTGAATTAGATGAGGATGTTGGTTTATCCATATCACATTTAAATGTGACCTTTTTAGGAATCTTATCAGCTACTATTGACAAATCTTCAGTAATAAGCTCATCTTCATCCACTTCTACAAACTCAATTCCAAGAATTCCTTTCACTTTCTTTGGCATTTCAATTGTCAATATAGATTTTTCCTCATCATATCTAGCCTTGATTTTATCCAAGATCACCCCATCTGGAATCTTGAAAGCCTTACTGAATTTTCTAATTTCTACATCTTTCTTGACCAATTTCCACCCTACCATCACAGTCTCTTGAACCGGCTTCTCACCCCTTATCGCGATTATGGTTCCTTCCTCATTAATATCAATCTTTATGTTTTTTTGTGTATAACCTATACAAAATTTTTCCAAATTCCATGTTAGAAATATAATGAACATCAAAATTTTAAAAAAAAATGAATAAACATAAATGTGCTAGATGAAGAGGAATGACCTCTTAAATGGACACTAAGGATGAACGTAGTGTCTGTTTCTGCAGACTGGAAAAGAGAGCCGGCTCGATCTTTTGCAAATTGGAATTCAGCAGAGGAGAATTCATCTGCAGCTCTTGTTAGTTTGAGCCCCAATTCCATTTCCATTTTCGTGGATTATTGCTAAACAATTGATTCGACAAGTTGAAATAAAGATCTTAAGTTGAAGGCATTGCATTTATGTGCTAAAAAACATGAAAGAAAAGAACATATGCTTTGCTTCATACTAGTGACAGATGAAGTTTGAAGTTTTGTGAAGTTTGATTCCTAACTGATAGGAATTATGATATAAACACGTGAAATAATAGACAAAAAAGAAAAGTTAAGATTAAAGGCGATATATATCTTGTGGGATAGGCAAGTAAAAAGGAAAAAGGCTGGTATTTTGCCTTGTCAAAGAGTTCATATTTGCACATTGCCTTTCCAATTAGGACTTCATTTCTACTCCACAAATGTAGCACACTTTTAAGTTTAGCACGGCGATAAACTTCTATGCAAAATAAAGGAAATTTCACCACTAGAAATCCGGAAAAAAACGACCACAAAAAGCGACTAAAGTTGGTCGCTTACAGGTCAAAAAGCGACCAAAGAGTGTCCAAAATGGCTTGGTCGCTATTTTGCTGGTCCCTTTACCTTAGAGACCATAGTTGATCGCTAATTAGCGACCAACTTTGGTCTCTAAGGTAAAAGGACCAAATATTCTGGGTAAACAATATACCGACCAACTTTGGTCTCTAAGGTAAAAGGACCAAATATTCTGGGTAAACAATATACCGACCAACTTTGGTCGCTTTAATATTTTAATAATATAAATTTAGCGGCCAAAGTTGGTCTCTTTATTTAAATTACGCTTTTTTTATTTATTATTAATCAAAATATAGCGACCAACTTTGGTCTGTAAACCAAATATTATATTTTAAAATCTGAAAAATAGAGACCAAAGTTGGTCGCTTTTTTTAATTTTTTTAAATATAAGCGCCCAAAATTGATCGCTAATTGCAAGAATTTAATTATTTTTTAAACATAAGCGACCAAAATTGGTCGCTATTTTCCAGATTTTTTTTTAATAGAATAGCGACCAAAGTTGGTCGCTTTTTTTAATTTTTTTAAATATAAGCGCCCAAAATTGATCGCTAATTGCAAGAATTTAATTATTTTTTAAACATAAGCGACCAAAATTGGTCGCTATTTTCCAGATTTTTTTTTAATAGAATAGCGACCAAAGTTGGTCGCTTTTTTTAATTTTTTTAAATATAAGCGCCCAAAATTGATCGCTAATTGCAAGAATTTAATTATTTTTTAAACATAAGCGACCAAAATTGGTCGCTATTTTCCAGATTTTTTTTTAATAGAATAGCGACCAAAGTTGGTCGCTTTTTAAGAAATTTGGGTTAATTAGTGGCCAATCTTGGTCGCTATTGCCCAGAAAATATCTTTTTTTAAATAGAAAAGCAACCAAAGTTGGTCGCTTTTCTGGGTATAATTTTGGCAGAAACTGCCTGTTTTG